AAATCAAGTCAAAATGTATTAAAGACTTAAGTATAAGACCTGAAACTATAAAACTACTAAAAGAAAACACAGAGGAATCACTTCAGGAAACAGGGCTGGGCAAAGACCTTATGAATAAAACCCCAAAAGTATAGACAACAAAAGAAAAAATAAACAAATAAGATTATATCAAACAAAAAAGCTTCTGCACAGCAAAATAAAAAATTAAGAGTGAAAAGACAACCTACAAAATGGGAGAAAATATTTGCAAACTATACATCTATCAAGGGATTAGTATGCAGAATATACAGGGAACTCAAACAACTAAAAAGTAAATAAATACATAAATAAATAAAATAACATGCAAAGCTAAATAGGCACTCAAAGGGAAATATAAAAATGGCCCACAGACACATAAAAAATGCTCAGCATCACTTATTATCAGGGAAATGCAAATCAAAACCACATTACGACATTGAGATATCATCTACCCAAGTTATACCATTATTATAAAAAAGACGGAGGCTAACAAATGCTGGAAAGGATGTGGAGAAATGAGAACCCTCCTACACTGTTGGATCATAAATTAATGCAATCATTATGGAAAACAGTATGGAGGTTCCTCAAACAACTACAAATAGAATTTCCATATGATACAGCAATCCTACCACAGGATATGTACCCAAAGGAATAGAAATAATCATGTAAAAGGTATACCAACACTCCCACGTTTATCGCAGCTCTATTTACAATAGACAAGTGTTGGGAATGTCCTTCAATGATGACTGAATAAGGAAAATGTTGATATATACTTCATGGAATACTACTCTGCCTTAGAAAACAATTAAATTCTGCCATTTGCAGCAACATGGATGAACTTAGAGAAAACTGTGTTAAGTGAAATAAGCCAGGCACAGAAAGAGAAATACCACATGTCCTTACTCATAATTGAGAGGTAAAAAATAAACAAATAGAAAAAAAAGAAGGGTACAACAATCACAATAATACATTGAACTTTCAGAAAGAGAGAACAGTAATGAGGTTACCAGAGGTGGGAAAGGGGGAGGGGAGGAGAGGTTAGTGAGAAATGGGTAAATGGACACAAAAAATGATTACATCGTATAATGTTGAATATACTAATTATCATGATTTGAGCATCACATATTGAACACAGATATTGATATTCAATGCTGTATCCCACTGATATGCACACTGAATTATGTGTCAATAAAAACAATAATAAAGCAGACTACAAATAAATATTGCATTCATTTCCCTTTACTGGAAGACCACATTAGTGTCAGACACAACTGGAATATAATCTGAACTCTTGAACTTAATAGGAAGATGATAATCATGCTATTGAAAAGATTCTCAATTTGCTCATCTATCAAATGAGAGTAACCATATCTACTACATTGCAGAAATTAAACGAGATAAATTGTAGAAATTTAATGCAGAAATTAAATTAGATAAAATAGATTATGTTTGGTAACTCAGGAAAGAAAGAAATGCATTTAGTTTCTATTACCCCGCTCTTCTTCTTTCCCCAGTGCCTTTATAGAAACCTTCAAAATTGCTGGATTCAGGATATTTTTATGATCTTCCAGGTTAGAAAACAAACAAAAAAACAACATGCATTACATGCATTACAAATATCTCTGTGTACGTTGATATCTGGCCAGCCCAGATTTGCAGGAAAACTGTACTTTTCACTAGCTCTGTGACCTTTGAAAAATGACTTAACCTCTTTTAGCCTGTTTCTCTCTCTGCGCAATACAATTAATAATCCTTACCTTGCATCTGTGTTTCCACAATTGGAAATTCAATGAAACACAATTCATTAAAATTAGTTATGGAAGTAAAAGCCCTTTCTATATCCAAAGAAATTTTATGAGAAAAAGTATTTTTTACTCTTTTCTCCTGCACATTGTTGCTTGAAAGTATATATAAAGTTATGTGTGTAATAGCCCCAACTTGAAATGTGAGGAGTGGAAAATAGATATATACTATGTTTATGCCTATTGGACACCTGTAATAAAATTTAATTTAAAAAACTTTTACTATTTAGTTTTACTAAAACAAAAATATTTTATTTCTTAATGCTAATAAATATTGCTTCACCTAGCAAGATACAGCAGCTGAACCAATTGTAAGTTTTCAATGGCTAGAAGAGAAAAGCTCAAATGTTCTCATCATGAAGAAAAGATAAATATTTTTGATGACACATATGCTAATGACCCTAGTATGATCATCACACATTGTGTACAAGTATTTAAATATAACTCTGTACCCCATAAATATGTACAATCATTACATTATTTTAAAAAATTATATTTATTATTTATTTAAAAAGGTAAATATTTAATGTATAAAAAAACTAAAACTTTGTGGAACATAATGCATACAAATATAAAGGACAAAAATATGCTGTGAAAAATATTTGCAATAAATGTAAGAACCCTGTCTATATTATATAAGGAACACTTTCAGGGTGATAGAATTATTGGGAAACCAAAGACTAACGTGTGCAAAACATAGGTACAGACTATTCACCTGAGATGAGAAATGATCAGAAAACAAATGCAGAAAATAATGTTTTACATTGCCAATAATAAATAAATGCACAGAAAATATCTCCATAGTATTAAATTAGCTATTAAATTTAAAAAATTAAAATATTACAAAGTTAAATCAACTACATTGCATATTGATAAAATTTTTTAAAAAGTTAGGAAGAGTAGCTCTTTGTGATACTAATGACAGATAATTATTCCCAATTTGTCATTTCTGTTATCAATATTTGCTTTTATGGCTTCTGGATTTTGAGTCAGGGTTAGAAATTCTTTCATTGTTTCATATTTTACATTTAACTATTTTAATCTTTTGGAAAAAAAAATAAAAGAAAAAATATTCCATGAGTCATGTGTAGACTTAGGAGTGAATAAGCCAATAGGAAGTACATCTCTGTGCTGATGTAAAAGTTTAAATAACATATTCTGATGGGAGCATCTTCCCACAACTGATGACAGAGAGTAGGGAAAGAGGACATGAAGGCAAGATATACCACAAGAAAACAGAGCCCTCGTCTCCTGTGGAATGTGTCCTACTATTTCTGATAATTTCTGAGCACCAATTTAATTCTGAGCTCCCCACATTTTAACAAACACTTGAATTGGTGGACTGTAATGGCTATGCCAGGGTCAAAGAGACCCATTGCCACACCATCTGTCACTGGATAGTGGCCATCTGCCTATCATTGGCTATCATTGGTGCTTTGGATTGAATTGTGTCCCTCAAAGTTCATACCGTGACAGTATTAGGAGGGTGGGAAATCATATTATGGTAATTGAAAGGTGGAGCCTTGAAGAAGTTATTACATTATGAAGACTATGCCCTAATAAATGGATTAATAAATTGATGGTTTAATGGTGGTTAGGGGTGTGGTTCTGAGGCCTTAAAAAGGATAAGGAGTGAGAAGTTAGCTCTCTCTGCTCTACCATTCTCACCATCTGACACCCTGCATCGCTGTAGAGTCACCTCACCAGATGTGTTCCCTGGATTTTGGACTTCCAAGACTCTGAAGCTGTAAGCAATAAATATTTCCTTTCTTACAAAACACCCAGTTGCAGGTATTTTGTTATAAGCAACAGAAAGACTAATACAAGTGGTTAATCATAAGCACTGGCCATTTCTTCCCGGAGAACACTCGTAGACTCTGAAAATATCTGGTGTCGGAACCTAGGATGGGAAATTTGGGAAAATCCAGTGTTCAGAATCACAATTTATTCTTTGTCCAGTTACCTAAACACATCTTTCATTTCTCTGTAAGAGCCTGGTGCTACAGTAAGTTCATAAAATTTGTCTAGGCAAGACTTCCATAAATTCTTTCCCTCTGTTTTCACTTCTTTACTCATCTCAGAAGCCAAATAAAACACTATTGTTATTTTACTTATAAAGCTTTATTTTTATTCTCCCTCAACTTCCTACAGTGATGTCTTCTTAACTTTTAACTTTTAATATATGACCATAAATATCACTCTGGCCTTGCTATTAACATTTCTAATTTGCTTATTCTTTTCTGATGTCCTGATTCTACCTCTTACATTCTGAGTAATATTTGGATTAATGAAAATTTTGATGGTGATTTGGATCCTAATGAAAAATCTGATGAACAGTATAGGCCTTCTGTCTCCCTCACACAAAATATATGCACAAGCTATTTTATCTATAAATTCAGAGATCAGATTCACCTTTAAGTTTATTTTTGCATAGCCCAAGAAGCTAGAAACCCTGGATTAACAATGCTGTGCATAGATACTTTTGTAACATTCAAAGTTATTTTAAGATACAGGACTCAGAATCAGAGAGAAGTAGCTATTTTTTCTCTTATAAGCAGAGTGAACTTAGTATTCTTATCAATTTTTCTAAAGTGTTCTCATCAATTAAAATGGGAGGGTTGGATCACTCGGTGTCTGGATTGTCTTTAGCTCCAAATATCAAAGATTCCTTAATTCTAATTGGCATGTGCTGTTGCCTCATAACTACCATTCAGGAATACATCTTATCCCTCTGTAGAGGATAAAATATCATGTATTTGAGTCTTATAAATACCACTATATGTGTATTTTCATCAAAGAATGATCACATTATTGCATCTTAGGTCAATATTTATAGGTAGGTAGATGATATAAATAGATAGAAAGATATTATATCATGATTAGCTCTTTTACATATACTGTCTGATTGTTCTTCACAGAACGCTTGTGTCAGTATGATCATATTTTATAGGTAAAGAAACTGAATATCAGAGAATTTAAGTAATGTCAGTAAGTAGCAGAGATGGTATTCAGACCCATAATTCATCGCTCTTCTTTTTTCCACCATCAAATTTATATTTAAAGAGTATTTGTTTAAAACTTGAAAAATGTAAATAAAAATTAAAAATGTGTTGTGAGGTTTACTTTCAATAAAAAAGCTTTTCAGTAGTAGTATCTATTAAAACAGCATCACATAGTTAC